CATGCGTATGTGGAGTGTATGTGTGTGTGGAGTGTGCATGCGTATGTGGAGTGTATGTGTGTACGTGTAGAGTATGTGTGTTTGGAGTGTGCATGCATATGTGGAGTGTATGTGTGTACATGTAGAGTATGTGTGTGGAGTGTGCATGCATATGTGAAGTGTATGTGTGTGTTTGGAGTGTGCATGCATATTTGAGCATGTGTGTACATGCGGAGTACATGTGTATGTGGAATGTGTGTGCCCCTTACAGCATATGTGTATATGTCGAGGGTTTGGCTGTGTGCTGAGACGGTGAGACCACACAGAGCTGACCAGGCTCCGCGGCAGCGGTGCCTCGTGCTGTGCCGGGCACTTCACTGGCCTCAGCAGCAGTCAGTCCCACAGAGAACTGAGATGAGGATTCAGGGAACAGGGGTTGCAGGACTGCTCAGCCAGCTTGTGGCACGTGACTCCTGGACAGGCACTCTTTCGCTGCCGTATAAAGCAAGTCTTTCAAAGCTTCCATGCCTAGGTTTTCTTGTCCTCTTTTTTACGTCATGGAGCCCACCACACACTTGGCCATGCCTAAGCGGCCCAGGAGTCCAGATGAGGAATCCTTACTGCGCCCCCCAAATCTCGGCGATTTGTTAATTCCCATGAAGTTACTGTTGGCACAGAAGTCCGAGTCCTTACTCCGCGCTGACTGCAGCACCTGTGGGAGGCCGGCCAGCCCGGAGTCTTCACTGCACTCAGTGTGTGGAATCTGTGTGTGGGAGTGGAATCTGTGAGTTTCTTACCTGCGTGCTTCTGCCCGGCTCTGCCCTGCCCTGGCTGGCTGGCTGTGCAGAGCGTTTCTGAAAGGTTGAGCTGGCCCTGATGTTACTGCCGCCGCGGGGCAGCGCCGCTTCGCCTTGTCCTGCTGAGGAGAGATTGGGAAGCCAAAGCCCTCTCCTCCCGGTGGCCCTCCTGATGCGGAGCCGGCCTGAGCCGGCCCGCCCTCTCAGCGGTCCTGCTTCACAGGGGCCTCTTCCCGCCCACGCCGCCGAGCTCTGGGGCTGCAGCCTGACCCAGCCAGCGCTGCCGCCCGGGAAACCAGGCTCCTGCAGCCAAAGCAGCCCCCCACCCCCCCGTGCTTCCCTGGGATTTGGGCTCTTTCTAGTCGGGCGGGGAGGTGGGGGTGGGCGCAACACGATGTGTTCGCGTGGATTGTGTTGGCTGTTTCCCGTCCAAAGCTGATGCATTGATCCAGGGAGAAGCGGGGGATTTGCTCATGTGGGAAATTTGGGCTCTGATGGGTCATGGGCTTATCTGGGAAGTGGAGGCGACGGAAGCTTTTCAGGCAGAATGAGAAAGGTCGCTCACATCCGCGGTGCCGAAACAGTGTAGCCCGGGTGCAAGCGGCACCAAGGTCGGGCAGGCAAGCTGTCGGCCAGCGGTCCTAGCAGCAGTGTTGTTATGCACGGTTGCAGTCATCTGTGGTCTTCAGGGTCCCTGTGACAGTTCTCACCTGTGAGAGCTCCGCCCATGTGCCTGCAACTCCATTTCCTTAGGGTCTGGCGTGTGAGTACTGGCAGCTCCCAGGCTCACGCTTGTCCCTTCTCCACAAGTGCATGTCAGTCACCCTCGATTCCACTGTGCCGTCCCGGTCAGACGCCAGGGATTCTGACCGCCTGTGCCACAGGAGGTCCCGAAGCCGTGGCTGCCAGGCTGTCTCCCTGGACTTGACTCGGGATCCCGTGGGGCGGGGCCTCATCTATGGTGGGGGGGGGGCAGGACAGCAAGCTTACCTCACAGGGTCACTCACAGACAGGCGCGCTCACTGGATCCAGCTGTGCTTGCCCCGTGGGGCGGGGCCTCATCTATGGGGGGGCAGGACAGCAAGCTCACCTCACAGGCTCACTGGACTTCGCTCTCTGCCCCTCAGCGTGGAGATACAGAACTCCCCACAGGGTGGCATTTGTCGAGAAGCTGACCAAGCTTGTTCTAAGCCAGCTGCCTAACTTCTGGAAGCTCTGGATTTCCTATGTCAATGGAAGCCTCTTCAGTGAGGTGAGTGTGTGACGTTGGCCATGGGGGGCTAAGCCACTGTGAATGTCTAGTTCAAATCAGTGAGGTGAGTGTGTGAAGTTGGCCATGGGGGGCTAAGCCACTGTGAATGTCTAGTTCAAATCAGTGAGGTGAGTGTGTGAAGTTGGCCATGGGGGGCTAAGCCACTGTGAATGTCTAGTTCAAATCAGTGAGGTGAGTGTGTGAAGTTGGCCATGGGGGGCTAAGCCACTGTGAATGTCTGGTTCAAATCAGTGAGGTGAGTGTGTGAAGTTGGCCATGGGGGGCTAAGCCACTGTGAATGTCTGGTTTAAGTTTTAGAGGCTTGTTTTTTTTTTTTAAGAACTGTATTGTAGGCCGGCTCTGTGGCTCACTTGGCTATTCCTCCACCTGCACCGCCGGCACCCCGGGTTCTAGTCCCGGTTGGGGCACCAGATTCTGTCCCGGGCTGCTCCTCTTCCAGGCCAGCTCTCTGCTGTGGCCTGGGAAGGCAGTGGAAGATTGCCCAGGTCCTTGGGCCCTGCACCCGCATGGGAAACCAGGAGGAAGCACCTGGCTCCTGGCTTCGGATTGGCGCAGCGCACTGGCCGTAGCAGCCATTTGGGGGGTGAACCAATGGAAGGAGGACTTTTCTCTCTATCTCTCTCTCACTATCTAACTCTGCCTGTCAAAAAAAAAAAAAAAAAAAAAAGTACAGTCCAGTGCCTATAGTAAGTGTTGTCTTTTTTAAGATTGGTTAAAAGAGTTATAATGCCCTAACATTAATAACCTTATGACCTTGGACGAGTAACCTGATGGTTCTGGGACTGTTTCCTCATCCGTGAAAAGAAAATAGTAAAAGAGGAAGCGTGTCTGCCCAACAGGTGATTGCAAGGATTAAACGAGATGGTCAGGTAAAGAAAAAGGAAACTTAGATTTGTTGTCAGTGATTCAGAACCAGAGGATGGGTGCTGTGGCTGGCAGCAGACCACGGCCACGTGGTCAGCAGGGATACAGTATTTGCCGTTTGCACGCAGGCCTGAACTGTTCTAGAATTTGATGGTTGGAAAGAATCTGAAGGTCATGTGACCCGACCCCTCACTGCCAGCCTGCAGAAGTTTCTCTCTGGGGCCTTCGCATTTTCCTGGGCTCCTGTTCACAATACATTAGTCATCATACACTCGGTAGCCCAGAAAGTATGAAAATGAAATAATGACTCTGAGTTTTGTGTGTAGTGCAAGGAAATTTAGACTCTTTTTTTATTATTAATGTAATTTCTTACTTGAAATAGAGACAGACAGATCTGTCATACTGGTTCCTCACCAAATACCCACAACAGCTGGGGCTGAACCAAGCCAAAATCAGAAGCCAGAAACTCCATCCAGGTCTCCATTGTGGGTCGTAGGAACCCAACGACTTGAGACATCATCTGCTGCTTCCCAGGGTGCACACTAGCAGGAAGCTGGGGTCAGAGCTGGGACTCGAACCCGGTGCTCCTGGGTGGGGTGCAGACATCCTAAGTGCCTGGCTAGCCTCTAGACAAAGGGACTGATCCCTTTGTAATCCTTCAGATGCTTCCAGTGTCCAGCCCCTGGAATGTAGACGCCAGCACCCTTGTCTTTAAGCTGCACCAGGGGTCCTGTGAGTCAGGTTTGCCCGGGGGAGCTGGGAGAAGCGGGTCTTCCTGGGGGTTGAGGCCATCCTTGCACGGGCAGTGGATGTGGACAAGGACTAAAACTGTTTGAACCTCTGCTCAAAGATGTGGCTTCTGTGGTTTAATAGCCTCCCTCTCCTCCCTGGGGAAGGTGGGAAGGTGGGAAGGTGGCTGGGCACTCCAGGGCATGCGCTGGCCTTGTTTGACCCTGAACGCAAATTAATGCTGGGGAGGAAACAGACTGTGCTCTGGATTTTTGTTTTTTCTTTGTGTATTTTGATTCTTTGTCTACTTTTTTTTTTTTTTTTTTTTTTTTTTTACCTACCAGGTCCTTGTTGATATTTATGTCTGTCTTTATACAGCAGGTTTTCTTTTTTCTTTTTTTTAAAGATTTATTTTCTTGAAAGTCAGAGTTACACAGAGAGAGAAGGAGAGGCAGAGAGACAAAGAGAGAGAGAGGTCTTCCATTCGCTGGTTCACTTCCCAAATGGCTGCAACAGCTGGAGCTGTGCCCATCCAAAGCCAGAAGACAGGAGCTTCCTCCAGGTCTCCCACGTGGGTGCAGGGGCCCAAGAACTTGGGCCGTCCTCCATGCTTTCCCAGGCCACAGCAGAGAGCTGGATCGCAAGTGGAGCAGCCAGGAGTTGAACCGGCGTCCATATGGGATGCCGGCACTGCAGGCGGTGGTTTGACCTGCTACGCCACATCGCCAACCCTTGTACAGCGGGTTTTCGAACCCATCACTCTTACTTAGTGCAGAAAGAGAGACACAGGTAAGGCAGAAAAAAGTCTCTGAAGTCTGACGTAGCAGTGCATTTCTTCCTTTTGTTCTAAGCACTTTGTCCGACATGCAGAGTGGACAGTGAGAGAGAGAGACAGAGAGAAAGGTCTTCCTTCCGTTGGTTCACTCCCCAAATGGCCACTGCAGCCGGCCGCTGCACCGATCCGAAGTCAGGAGCCAGGTGCTTCTCCTGGTCTCCCATGGGGTGCAGGGCCCAAGCACTTGGGCCATCCTCCACTGCCTTCCCGGACCACAGCAGAGAGCTGGCCTGGAAGAGGAACAACTGGGACAGAATCTGGCGCCCCGACCGGGATTAGAACCCGGGGTACCGGCGCCACAGGCAGGGGATTGGCCCAGTGAGCCGCGGCGCCGGCCTCTCCTTCCCTTAATTCAGCAGGCGTTAATGACTTTACGTGTGAGCACTCAGATACCAGAGCAGTAGCCTTCTTTCCTTGCTTCCTGCCATCTTGGTTAGGCAAGAACTCTCAGTGCACAGCCTCATGCAGAGGAAGTGCCCTTCCCTACAGGGGACGTGGGCCTGGCTGTCTTCATAGACGAGGAGGTGCTCACCTAGGGCCTCGCAGGTTTGCCCAGAGCTCGCGTACCCACGTGTCATGGTTGGTCTGACCCTGTTCCCGTGACGCTCAGCGGCTGAGGGCTGTGCAGCTCGCAGTGCGGAGGCCACTGTCTGGGGTCCTCACCCTCAGCCACAGCCCACAGCCGCACCGCCCGCACCGTCTCTGCTTAGGATCTTGCGCCCCGTGCCTTTGGACGGTGTGTGTCCCCAGACTTCCTCATGGAGCATCAGTATGTTAACAGACACATCCGGTGAGTGTCACTCTCGGTGACCTCAGGTGGCTTATTTGTGTGCACCCCCTCCTCCCGTAGTGTTGGCTCGGGAATTCCGGGAGCTGATGTAAGTGAAGTGCTTACACCAGTGAGTTTAAGTTCGTGTAACTGTAATCGTAAGGAAGGTTGGTTCTTATTATTTGGAATCAGATTTACTCCACTAATGAAATCTCATCAGCCTGACAATGAGTGGGTCTTCAGTGACAAAACTTGGTAGCATCAGAGTCCAGCAGACTGGTGAGCTGCCTCAGCAGAACTGAGTGCTCAGTGACTTGCTCCCTTAAGCCACGTTCTCTCTCCACCCGAATGCTCCTTTCCTCTGCTTGATTCAGTTCCTACACGGAGCTCACTATCAGAGACAGCGGTTGCCTTATCTTGAATCTTTTTATTTGTTTATATCTTTACAAGTTTTATTTATTTCTTTGAAAAGCAGAATGAGAGAGGAGGAGAGAGAGATCCTGTCCATGTGCTGGTTCACTCTCCAAATGGCCACAACGGCCAGGGCTGGGCCAGGGCTGGGCCAGGCTGGAGCCAGGAGCTTCACCTGGGTCTCTCACGCGGGAGCAGAGTCCCAGAGACGTGGGCCTTCTCCACTGCTTTCCCAGGCCATAGCAGGGAGCTGGATCAGAAGTGGAGTAGCCGGGACTCGAACCAGTGTTGAAATGGGCGGAGGACCTGCTGCTCCAGAATGCCAGCCCATCTTGACTCCTTTCATGTCACTAGAATTACTGAGAGTTTTTGGTCTGAGATAATTAGTGAAAACAAAAATGTTTTCCTGCCTTACACTGTATACCTTGTTGTGATAAAAATACATGAAATGGTTACAGTTAAAAAATAAATGACTTCCGAATTCATGATCAACATTTCTTTGAAATGAAAAATGATTTTAATTAGTTGTACTAAGTTGGATATGCCTGTATTTCAGTCTGTTTATAAATGTTTTAAAAGTTTGTCGTAGCAATTGTTAATTAGATGTAAATCACGTGACAGACTTGGAGGGAGGAATGGCATGGTGAGGCAAGTGGGCGACAGACCACTGCTGTCAGTCTGTGCGTGAAACTTGGAAACTAATTAAATTAATTGTCAGGAAAATTTGGGGGCTTTTGATAGTTGAGATTTAATCTATAAGAAAGGTTGATAATATTGTAACACAATTTTCTTAAATTTTTTTGCTATAGAACTATTTTTGTTTTATTGATAATCTATCCGTTAAAAGATTTAGATGAAGTTTCCAACAGCTTAAAAAGTAGTTCTTCAACATATGTGAATCAAAACAGTGAAATCTAGCCGTTGGTCTTACCACAAAGTAGTTTTGGTCTGTGTGTGCAGGAAAGAGTTAAGGTTTTAGTTAACGAAATGGTTAATAGTAGGTTAAGATCTCACCTTTAGATATTTTTTTTAAAGTACAGGGTGTTTTTGAATGAAAGTCTAAAGCATCCAGATAACTGTTAAACACTAGGAATAAGCATTTTTGAAAGTCCTGTAATTCACAGAATGTAAGTTCAGATGTCCTGTATGTTCCAAAACTAGCTTTTCTTTTATGACTAGGGCAAGTCTTGGGTAAGCCGTTCAGCTGGAGATGTCCGGCTCCTCTTCAGACGGCTCATGGACAGTTGCAAGGGGCATGCTTCCACCTGGTTTCCCCCGTGCTCCCAGCTGCCTTACGTATGTTTGGAGACAAGTCTGTGAAATTTAGAAAACTATTGTCCAGTAGATGTCGTCATTCATTTGTGAGCTGTCTGTTGGATGTTTTGGCAAAATTCAGCCTTAATTTTGTTACAAGGCTTTTTTTTTTTAAGAAGCATGAGAACTTTTTTTTTTTTTAATTGAAAGACAGACACAGAATCGGAGACATATAGACAGATTTTCCAACCCTGGATCCACTCCCTAAATACTGGCAACAGCTGGGGCTGGGCGAGGCTGAAGTGAGCCTGGACTGACATGTGGTCTCCCATGTGGGTGACGTTGACCCAGGTGCTTGAGCCATGACCTGACGCCTCCCGAGTTTTGCATTAGCCGGAAGCTGGACTTAGAAGCAGGACAGAGCTGAGCCTTGGACCCAGGCACTGCAATGAGATAGGTCAGCGACCCAAGCAGCGTCTTAACCGCTGGGCCCAGTACTTGCCCTGAAGTGAAGCTGCTTAATAGCGAGGTCATTTGGCTTTTCTTTGATTTAGAAATCTTGAACAGAATGAATGACTGTGGAATGCTCTCGCACAGTCCCTGCTGTGTGCAAAGTTCAGAATCAGGTACGTGGAGGAGACCATCGGAGAAGGCATTCACAGTTTTGAACTGCATGTCTTGTTACTGCACAGCATCCCAGGGCCCCACAGAAAGAGGCACACACACGCACACACACACACGCACACACACGCACACACACACACACGCACACACACACACACACGCGCACACACACACACACGCACACACGCACACGCACACGCACACGCACATGGAACGGCCTCGTGGAATTACCAGTGCCAGCACCCTCAAGACCCAGAAAATTCCATGTTTCCACTTGGCGTCTGAGGCGAGAGAAAGCCAGGGTCCTGGGCTGGAGGCCGTCGGGCAGGGGAAGTTCCTTTTGACCTGGGGCCCCTTTGTCCTGCCAGGGCCTTCAGCCCCCGCCTCAGGGAGGGCGTCCGCTTTCCCAGTGCTCTTCAGTTCATCCATCCAGAGCCACGTCCCGACACAGCCGGGCTGCCGTGGCCCGGAGGTTCTTCAGGGTTTGGAGGTGCTGCATCCCTGTGCCTCGCGTGCCTCCGGGCAGTGTGTGAGTTCACACTGCAGCCTTCCCCCTCGCCCAGCCTGCGTTCACACAGTGTGTGAGTTCACACTCCAGCCTTCCCCCTCGCCCAGCCTGCGTTCACACAGTGTGTGAGTTCACACTCCAGCCTTCCCCCACGCCCAGCCTGCGTTCACACAGTGCGTGAGCTCACACTGCAGCCTTCCCCCTCGCCCAGCCTGCGTTCACACAGTGCGTGAGTTCACACTCCAGCCTTCCCCCTCGCCCAGCCTGCGTTCACACAGTGTGTGAGGTCACACTGCAGCCTTCCCCCTCGCCCAGCCTGCGTTCACACAGTGTGTGAGCTCACACTCCAGCCTTCCCCCTCGCCCAGCCTGCGTTCACACAGTGTGTGAGCTCACACTCCAGCCTTCCCCCACGCCCAGCCTGCGTTCACACAGTGTGTGAGCTCACACTGCAGCCTTCCCCCTCGCCCAGCCTGCGTTCACACAGTGTGTGAGTTCACACTGCAGCCTTCCCCCTCGCCCAGCCTGCGTTCACACAGTGTGTGAGCTCACACTGCAGCCTTCCCCCTCGCCCAGCCTGCATTCACACAGTGTGTGAGTTCACACTCCAGCCTTCCCCCTCGCCCAGCCTCCATTCACACAGAGCTCTCAGGGCTCTGTCACAGTGAGGCCCAGGGCCTCAAGGCTTTGATTTGTATTTTAAAGAAGGCCTTCGGGCAAGCCCAGGGGTATTGGGCAGCCAACTTTGCTAAGGACACTAAAATGAGGTTCTGAGAACCCTAACCCTGGGTGGGCATTCATTCTCCACACATTCACTGAATACCCTGAAAGACCCCCATGTGCCACATGCACGCACACATGGTGTATACATGACCACTACATACATATACGTACACATACACATGTAATATATGCACACAGCATTTGAAGATACATATATGCATAAAACATCAGTAAAACAGGGACCAAGATACACATGCTGTCTCCCTTCCTGGAGAGACAACAGCAAAAGGAATTTTAAACATGGCCCTCCATTCTGGCAGCAACTGCATGACGCAGGGCGCTGAGGCAGAGAGCAGCAGTAGTGGACTTCCTGTGCAGCTGCTTTCGGGCCGACTGACTGGACGCAGGAGAGGCAGCACGGGCCCTGGGAGAGCAGGCCCCAGGTGGGGCAGTGGCTGGGAGCCGGGCATGGCTGAAAACCAGGCAGACCTCAGCCTCGCCACCCACTGAGCTGGGTGTGGCTGCCAGGACAGGCGGGACCGTTTGGCCAGCCTCACTGCAGCCCAGGTGAGGGGCCCAGACCACTTGGGCTGCTTGTTAGGGGACAGAGGGGGGGAAGCCAGTGAGCGCGCTTGGGAGAGAGGTCTTGTCAGTGGAGCAGGTGAGAAACTGATGTCTGATTTGTGTTTTGGAGGCAGTGCTGCTGGATCAGTGAGAGGGTGAAGACTGAGATTCAGATGTGGCCCCGACACAGGCTGCTGGGAGAGCAGAGTCAGAAAGACTTGAGGAAGACCACAGGGTGGGATGGGGTGGGGTGGGGGATGTTCTAGTAGAACAATGGAATTCTGTTTGTAGTGTGTTGAGTTTGAGATTCCAGTGAGTTATTAAGATGGAGCACTGGGGCCGGCGCTGTGGCGCAGTGGGTTTACCCCATGGCCTGCAGCGCCGGCATCCCATATGGGCACTGGTTCAAGACCCAGCTGCTCCACTTCCGATCCAGCTCTCTGCTGTGGCCTGGGAAAGCAGTGGAAGATGGGCCAAGTGCTTGGGCCCCTGCACCCATGTGGGAGACCCAGAAGAAGCTCCTGGCTCCTGGCTTTTGATCGGCACAGCTCTGGCCATTGCAGCCAACTGGGGGAATGAACCATCAGGTGGAAGACCTCCCCCCCCCCATCTCTGCCTCTCTCTCTGTTTAACTCTGATTTTCAAAAAAATTAATAAATCCTTTAAAAAAAAAAAAAGACGAGCGTCAGGTTGCAGTCTGAGAGTCTGAGGTCAAATCAGGGCCTCAAGTGACGCCTGTGCTGGAGATGCCCACGGGGGAGGGTTAGACAGGGATGACGCTGGAAGCCCGTGGGACTACGAGAGAGAAGAGAAGGGAACAGGGTGCCCCAGACCAGGAGCTGGCGCACACAGCGGTCACAGCAAAGGCTTCTCCCCGTGGTGAGGGGGCACTCTTGGCTCAGCCATGCCCGGGTCATGGGTCGCCTGGAGTCCTCACTGCCTCCAAGCGCCACACTGGGCAGGAATGGAAGGGCGGCCGCGGCCGTGGGTGCATCTGGCCGCTCCCTGCCGGGCGGGACGCTCCGCACCTCGCAGTCCTACTCTCCTTAGGCCTAATCACACCGTCCACCTGCCCAAAACACTCCTGCTGCTTCTCACTTGTCTTAAAAATGCAGGAAAACAAAGAGTTCTGAGTGCCACTGACCATGAACTCAGAAGGTAGCTTTTTGAGAGATTATTGAGGTGAATTTGGGGTTCAGCTTTTTATGTGTGCTTTTAGTTCTTTCAAAGCAAAAGTGCACTTCTATGAAGAAAAAAATGGTAAGAACTGCAGTGTTTAACAGAAAATTTAAAAATAAATCAAAAGTGAAGTGTGCGGAGTGTGTATCTATCTGTTCGCCACTTGTTTTCACGTGTTTTGTGTGTTTGTTAAAAACGCTCAACACTCCCAGCCATTCTTTACTCATTCACGTAGGTGATCTTCATGCTATAAACCACTCCTGCAATATGCCAAGGCAATGACAGAATTGCCTTTGGCATTGCATAATTTTGTTATTGCTTTTTTATTTTGAGAGTTTCCTGAACTTGCTCTTCTAAGGGCGTGTTCTATAATACGTAGTTGTTAGAAAATTTGTTATTGAAAGCTAACTGAAATTCAGTTCACTATTCTTTTAATCATCCTAACATGATCTTCCCCACATGACTTTAAGGAGAAAGAGGAATAGCAGAGAGAAATATGAGTTATATCAATAAGCAGATAGAAAATTTATTTAGAAAGGTATTTTATATTCTGTCTTCAATTACACTAAAATTCCTGCAAGAAGAGCAGTGGTTTATACTGTTTTAAAAACACAGTGACAAAGGGTGGTGCTGTGGCACTGCCTGGGACACCAGCATCCCACATGGGCGCCAGTTTGAGTCCCGGCAGCTCCACCTCTGATCCAGCTCCCTGCTGGTGTGCTTGGGAAAGCAGCGGAAGATGACCCAAGTGCTTGGGCCCCTGCACTTGGGAGACCCAGAAGAAACGCTGGGCTCTGGGTTCAGCCTGGCCGGGGAGTGAACCAGCAGATGGAAGACTGACTCTCTCTCTCTCTCTCTCTCTGTAACCCTGCCTTTCAAATAAACTAAAAAGTGAATTTCTTTAAAAGAATGAATGCTAGTTTAATGTTTGTATTCATAAATGCTTACCAAGCCCTAGGAGGACTGTGTACGCTCTGATTTACTCCTCCTCTCGGCATCTGTGCTAGCTGGTGCAAAACGATGTGGAGAAGGTCACCGTGGGTGTGGTGTTTATTGTTCAGCCATATGGTGAAAACTCACTTACAAAACTATTTTCAGCTTCGGATAATTTAACAGAATTATAACTAAAGATTTTAAAAACCTCAATGACTTCTTGCTGCGGTAAGACCTTCCAATTAATCATCAAGTCAGAAACAGACTGTCTCTTAAGCATGCCTTTCACTCAAGTTACGGTCATAATTCACGCTCTCTTCATATCCACCTGCCATTACCCCTGCGTGTATTCCTCCTCATTTTTAGGAGGCTTCTAAAAGACAGCTGATGTATCTGGTTTTGTCTTTTGTGTTTAAGACTGCTGAGAAATCGGGCCAGATTGAGCGATCCAAGAACGTAAGGCAAAGGCAAAGCGACTTTAAGGTAAGGAAAGGTGTTACGGGAGCAGTGCATGTTCTGTTGCCGTGACAGAATGCCCATGGCTGGTGCTTTATAAACACAGAGGCTCACGGAGGTCAAGCTTTGGAGGCTGTAAGTCCAAGAGCAGGCAGCTCCACGAGGACCTCGACTGGGTCGCCGTGTGGCAGGTGGTGTCAGGGCCGGAGCTTGTGTGAGGAGGGCCGTCAGCTGGAGGGCCAGCCCCTCTCTGTAGATCCGCCCCGTCGTGAGAACTAACGGGGGGCCACCACTGGGGGCTTCCCCTGCCTCTGGACATTGCTCCACTGGGGAACAGGCTCCCAACCACGAACCCTTGGGGCGCAGGTCGCATCCAGGCCGTGGCAAGAGTGCAGGGTCTTTCTCATCCAGGGCCAGGAGGGGACTTCGTGGTGAAGGCCTTTGTTAGCACGCATGCGCGGTGTCTGGTTCACTCGTCGACTGGATGACGTGGTTACGCAGTGTCCCTGTTCGTCGTTGTCTAGAAGATGATCCAGGAGGTGATGCACTCGCTGGTGAAGCTGATCCGCGGGGCGCTGCTCCCGCTCAGCATCCGAGAGGGGGAGGCCCGGCAGTACGGAGGCTGGGACGTGAAGGCGGAGCTCTCGGGCCAGTGGCTTGCTCACGTCATCCAGACCGTGAGGTGAGTGCGGACTCGTGCTCGGAGAACGGGTAAATACATGCTGTTTCCGTTTCTTCTCTGTCCAGCTGCGCTCTGCACCGTTGCGATGAGTGCCCTAGCGCGTGTGCTTTGATTCTGTTGCTCAACTCGGCGTTACTGACTGTGGTGATAAGTCTGTGCTGTGGTCTTCCCTGCCCTGTTGTCACCCTCCTGCTGGGGCTCGCGAGCTCCGTGACACAGGGTTGATTACAGGACTGCGAAACCACGGCAGGCATGGCGCACTTCGTTGTTTTCTGGCCCCGCAGGCTGACTTACGAGTCCTTGACCGCCCTGGAAATTCCCAACGACATGCTGCAGATCATCCAGGACGTCATCCTGGACCTCCGCGTCCGTTGTGTGACAGTCACGCTGCAGCACACGGCACAAGGTGGGTTAGGGGACTGATGGCTCCGGGGGCCGCCTCCTCCCGGCTTCCAGCTCCTGCACTTCAGGAAACCCTCCGGGGCTGTGTGCCTGTGGTCATGCACCTTACTTCTAGCCGCTCAGAAATGATCTTCCCTCCTTTTGGAGCCTTTGACGGAAGTTTAGTTGAGATGCAACATGGACATGAAGATGCATAGGCTTAAAATAGTTCAGGATGTAAGAATGGCCTTGGGACAGATCATACATAGAAATGTAGGATATAAATGTGTATATATACACATGTATGTAGAGTAAAATGTCAATTTTGAAAATATGTGTTTTAAAAATTTAATTTTGGAATATCAACATAAAGTCAGGAAGGACTGTTAGCAGTGGTTTTCTAGATAGTACACATTGGAGATGGTTCTTGTTTGCTTTAAACTTTTAAAAATTTCCAAGATTTTTCTTCATACAATCATAAAAAAGGAATAAATGTTATTTTTATAAGGAAGTAGGCTTTTGGCTATTAAAACAATCAAGGGCATTCTTTATAAAAGATTTATTTATTTATTTGAAAGATTTACAAAGGCAGAGAGAGAGAGAGAAGTCTTCCATCCATTGGCTTATCCCCCAAGTGGCCACAACAGCCAGAGCTGGGCAGATCCAAAGCCAGGAGCTTCCTCCAGGTCTCCCATGCAGGTGCAGGGGCCCAAGCACTTGGGCCATCCTCTGCTGCTTTCCTAGGCCATGGCAGAGAGCTGGATCGGAAGCAGAGAGCAGCTGGGACTCGAACCGGTGTCCATATGGGATGTTGGCACTGCAGGCGCTGGCTTCACCCACTAGGCCACAGTGCCGGCCCCAATCGAGCATTTTTATCAATGGCACAAACCACTGCCTGCCACCCGAGTTTTTAAATAGGAAGGTCTCATCTGCACAGATTTGGTGACTAACACACTGGTGAATGGAAAGCGAGAAACTGAACATTACTACCAGTTAATCCATCACTCCCGTTTCTCCCAAGAACCTAGACAGACTGCAAAGCTGAAGCTGAGGCAGTGAGTTCCTGTTGCTAAAGGGGGAATCGTGACGTCATTGTTAAGAGTATTATAGGCTCCAAATAGAATCCAAACTGTGCACCAGAAACTATAGGAAAAGAATGCTATACGGCTTCATGACTTACTGTGTACATGTGTATCAGGAATACCTGATAACTAATACATCATTCACTGAGGTTGGAATTCTCCAAATTGGGCTTGGCAGTAAAAAAAAAAATCAAGTATTGTTTACATTAATGCTTTATTAAGAGAATCAAGCAAACAGTAAATGTTTAAATCCTCAAATCTACCAAAACGGTGTTCTATCCCTACTTCTTTGGAGTATTTGCAAACCTATGTGAAACAATTGGAAACCACAACCTTTATAGATTTTTATGTGAGGATCAGTGAGATGACAGTGGTGAACAGTACCTGTGTGCTTGTTTTCCACGTAGAAGTGAAGAGACTGGCCGAGAAGGAGGACTGGATCGTTGATAATGAAGGCCTGACTTCTCTCGTAAGTTGAAATTGTTCTTACTATTAGTCATGAGACAGTATTCTATTCAAAGTACATGAAGCAATGTATGAATAAGGAGTATACCCCTCTGTGTTGCCGTGTGCACTGTCTGTACTGCAGTGTGCACTCTGTACTGTGGTGTGCACTCTGTACTGTGGTGTGTACTCTGTACTGCAGTGTGTACTCTGTACTGTAGTGTGCAATCTCCGTACCGCAGTGTGTACTCTGTACTGTAGTGTGCACTCTGTACTGTAGTGTGTACTCTCTGTACTGTAGTGTGCACTCTGTACTGCAGTGTGCACTCTCTGTACTGTGGTGTGTACTCTGTACTGCAGTGTGCACTCTGTACTGCGGTGTGTACTCTGTACTGTAGTGTGCACTCTGTACTGTGGTGTGTACTCTGTACTGTAGTGTGTACTCTGTACTGCAGTGTGCACTCTCTGTACTGTGGTGTGTACTCTGTACTGTAGTGTGTACTCTATACTGTAGTGTGTACTCTGTACTGCAGTGTGCACTCTCTGTACTGTAGTGTGCACTCTGTACTGCAGTGTGTACTCTGTACTGTAGTGTGCACTCTCTGTACTGCAGTGTGTACTCTGTACTGCAGTGTGCACTCTCTGTACTGTAGTGTGCACTCTGTACTGCAGTGTGTACTCTGTACTGTAGTGTGTACTCTGTACTGCAGTGTGCACTCTGTACTGCAGTGTGTACTCTGTACTGTAGTGTGCACTCTGTACTGTAGTGTGTACTCTGTACTGCAGTGTGTACTCTGTACTGTAGTGTGTACTCTGTACTGTAGTGTGCACTCTGTACTGCAGTGTGTACTCTGTACTGCAGTGTGCACTCTGTACTGCAGTGTGCACTCTGTACTGTAGTGTGTACTCTCTGTACTGCAGTGTGCACTCTGTACTGCAGTGTGTACTCTGTACTGCAGTGTGTACTCTCTGTACTGCAGTGTGCACTCTCTGTACTGCAGTGTGTACTCTGTACTGTAGTGTGTACTCTCTGTACTGTAGTGTGCACTCTGTACTGCAATGTGTACTCTGTACTGTAGTGTGTACTCTGTACTGCCATGTGCACTCTGTACTGTAGTGTGTACTCTGTACTGTAGTGTGTACTCTGTACTGTAGTGTGTACTCTGTACTGCAGTGTGCACTCTCTGTACTACAGTGTGTACTCTGTACTGTAGTGTGTACTCTGTACTGCAGTGTGTACTCTCTGTACTGCAGTGTGTACTCTGTACTGTAGTGTGTACTCTGTGCTGCAGTGTGTACTCTGTACTGCCGTGTGCACTCTGTACTGCAGTGTGTACTCTGTACTGTAGTGTGTACTCTGTACTGTAGTGTGTACTGTGTACTGCAGTGTGTACTCTCTGTACTGTAGTGTGTACTCTGTACTGCAGTGTGCACTCTGTACTGTAGTGTGTACTCTGTACTGCAGTGTGTACTCTGTACTGTAGTGTGTACTCTGTACTGTAGTGTGTACTCTGTACTGTAGTGTGCACTCTCTGTACTGCAGTGTGTACTCTGTACTGTAGTGTGTACTCTCTGTACTGTAGTGTGTACTCTGTACTGCAGTGTGCACTCTCTGTACTGCCATGTGCAGTCTGTACTATAGTGTGCACTCTGTACTGTGGTGTGCATTCTGTACTGTAGTGTGGTAGGAGGAACGCACTTGCTGGACCCTAAGCCAAAGCCATGCAGAGGACGGCACCAGCACAGTGCTCTGGGACGTGCCTGGGTGAGGCAGGTGCTGTTCATTGTGGAGCCGTCATTTTCTCAGCGACCGCTTCAGGCTTGTAAATCACCTGTGCAGACAGGTGTGCCGGCACGGCGTCTCCCACCGTCTGTGGCTCCCTCGCACAGCAACGGGCGGGGCTGTGGGTGAGGGTGGATGCTCAGCTGCTGTAGCAGACCCTGGGCTTGTGAGGCAGGGTCTTCTTTTGCCTCTCACGCTGGCCCAGAGCCTGTGGTCACCCATGGCCTTGCCTCTGGCAGGAAGGGCCCAGCACGCTCCCAGAGCTGCATGTGGCCACTGTCCTCACCTGCAATTGGCCGGGGCGCACTCACAGCATCTTTCACCCAGAGCCGACCGGCACACAGCGGCCTTCTCAGCTGTGTGCAGGGCTGCCCTCTGCAGTGTCCGTCTTACAAGAGAAAGGGAGAGGCTGAGTTCTGGGCTTGGGAGGCCGAGGTGGGGGCAGCTCCCAGTTTCTGCCTTGGGTAAGGAAACTGGCCCACAGTGGCTTGCAGCTGCCCAGATTTGCACACCGGTGGTGAGCCAGGCTGTTGGGAGCACCGACCGCACCTGCTGTTTCTCCTTCAGTCTCTGTACTCCCGTTGGCCATTTCCTCTTGGCAGCTGGGAGAGCTGAGGTTCATCCTCCTCCTCCCAAGGTCAAGGTCCTATCTTCAGTTGTATTTTTTAAAAAATTTATTTATTTATTTGAGGGACAGAGTTACAGAGAAAGAGAGAGAGAGAGAGAGATCTTCCATCCACTCCCCAGATGGCCACAATGGCCAGAGTTGAGCCAACCCAAAGCCAGGAGCCAGGAGCTTCATCCAGGTCTCCCACAAGGGTGGAGGGTCCCAAGCACTGGGTCTTCTTCCACTGCTTTCTCAGGCCATTAGCAGGGAGATGAATTGGAAGAAGAGCAGATAGGACTTGAACCGGTGTCCCTGTGGGATGCCAGCACTGCAGGCAGTGGCTTAGCTTACCATGCCACAGCACTGGCCCTGGTTGACGTAAATTTGTACAAACGTGCCTTATACTCTGGTTTAGAAAAGCAGCCCTCTAAGTTTTTGCACATAAAATCATACTTGAAATGAGTTAGGGAAGTTTATTATTTGCAATAATTGGATTGCAATTCTATTTTAAAGGACGTAACTTTTATAAAAAAAAAAAAAAAAAAAGAAGGTTAATTCACCGGATTTGTGCTCCTTGTCACGATTATTTGTATTTAAGCACAGACTGTGCTGTAACTCTCCCCCGCTGAATCTTTAGAAGAAGGTGTGGGCTAGACCTGCAGCGTCCCGCAGAGCTGCGTGAGACGCACACGAACACGAGAACGTGAGCCATCTCTACTGTCTGTATTGAGAACTCGTCCGAGGAGTAACGTTAAATTAAGTAAATTAGAGTTCACCTGATTTCTCTTTAGTTTTTTTTCTCTTAATGCGGCTACTGGAAAATCTAAAGTTCCATCTGCAGCTGTGTTTGTGGCTCACATCTTATTTTCTTGGGCAGCACGAAGGTAGAGGAAGTACGGATTCAGCTTAGAATCCGACGTGGTTCAGTCCTCCTCAGAGTGGGGAACAGGCCCCGGGGGCCGCCTGCCTCCAGCGTGGTAATATCTAAAGGAGGGCCGTGCGCGGATGGTGTTGCAGGTTAGGGTTAAATAGTGAGACAGTGTGGGCTAAGGCACCTGGAAGACTGCAGAGCTCCAGGCAGACATCACGGCCTTGTATTTGTTCACGTGAAGCTCGTAATGACGGGGCCACTACGACAGAATGCCTCGAGCTTACGTCATCATCCCTCACTAGGTTTTCGAAGCTCTCTCCAGCAAGGGGGTCTTCACAAAGTTCATTGAAAGTGTGTGTTGTGGAAGAAACTGTACCTGGGTTTCCAGATGGTTTGCATGAAAATGATTCTGCTTTTCCACAAACTTTTGAAGTACCCTCATGAACTCCATCTGGAGGGTCACAGCAAGCTTGAAGGGCAGGCCGGGGAGGGATCGTCGCACCACCATCCACGAGTGACTTCGGATGCAGTAGTGTGGCCCGACGAGGCATCCAGCCACCCCGATTCCGGGTTCTCTACAAAGGGGAAATGTGGATCTGTCCAGGTCCTGAGCTTTATTTAAAAAGCTGGTACGGATTCGGGAACTGTTAGCCACAAAACAGGTGTCGGCTTCTAGGTGCTTCTTCAGGTTGGTGCCTCCTGGGTACCTGGTCGTCCCTGCCAGCTGCACGTCCCAGGCTCACTTGCCTAACTGTAAGCCAGGCCTTCTGACTGCTCCAAAGTGGTGTCTGCAGAATCCCGTCTGTGGTTTGCTTTTAAATTTATGCTAGTGCAGTTGTAAGCACAAGATAACTAATTGCGTGTTGGATTTCTCTCTCTCTCTCTCACACACACACACACACACGTCTCACTGAATCATGTGCAGGGAACACAGAACTAGGCTGCTCTGTACCGTGAGCGAAAGTCCCCCAGGAAATAGCATGTCTACAATCAGCCAGGCCATCTTGTGAGACATCCGTGAAGACACACGCCAGTGAGATGGACGTGATAATGCTGGGGAAGTGCTCTAGCCATCCAGCACCAAGCACCTCTTAGTAGAAAAGGTGAATCAGCGCTTAGAGCTCGAGTTTGGGTTCCAGCTTTGAGTATTGACCCCAGCGTTTGCAGAATTCTGAGACTTGGAGCGATGGCTGAAATACAGTCCGCGCCTGCCACACGCAGCTGACGTACGTCTTCTTGACATCTGCCTAGATCCGCTTGGATTCGTCTGAGATGAAAACCCTGTTCTCTTCCCCGTGACTGGGGCAGGGAGATGTTCCTTCTCACGCTAGAGAAATGGGCGCCGGCTGCGCCTCGCTGTGGCCGCAGGACTGTCTTCAGTCAGCACCCTCAGCGCCCTGCAGCAGCCCATTTGAGAGCGCCCTGTTGTCCTCTGCTTCTTCTCAGTTTGGATAATTCTGAGAATTTTCTGCCTTTCAGAAGAATGGGGATGACTGGTGATAACTTCTTACAGTCAGCTAACCCAGTGATTCACTGCCGAGACACAGAAATAGTGACATTTTCTTTCCTCTTAGAAAAAGCAAACGTTCAGACTATCATTTACTCGCAGTTTAATGAAACCCGTCAGTGAACTGTCCAGGATTCTCTATCCATGTGCTGTGTCACTGAGTGGATAAAAACAAATGAGAGGGGCCGGCGCTGTGGCTCACTTGGTTAATCCTCCACCTGTGGCGCCGGCATCCCATATGGGCGCCGGGTTCTAGTCCCGGTTGCTCCTCTTCCAGTCCAGCTCTCTGCTGTGGCCCGGGAAGGCAGTGGAGGATGGCCCAGGTGCTTGGGCCCTGCACCTTCGTGGGAGACCAGGAAGAAGCACCTGGCTCCTGGCTTCAGATCGGTGCAGCGCCGGCCATAGCAGCCATTTGAGGGGTGAACCAACAGAAGGAAGACCTTTCTCTTTGTCTCTGTCTCTAACTCTACCTGTCAAAAAAATAAAATAAAATAAAAAAAATAAAACGAGAAAGTCCGGTTCAAATTTTAACATAAAAAGTGCAAATAACTACACATGAACAACAATATTTAGCTGCCGACGGTTGCACTTTCGATTTAATTCTCAATATTGCGATTGTAGTATTGTTTTAATATCTTAAATTCCCCCAGCTTCTGAGGCAGATAGGTCAAATTAAAGACATCACAGTGCGTCTGATATTCCATCCTGTTTAGCCTTTCTTTTTTGTCGGGTACTTCTGCTCTTCACTGCTCTTTGGGGTGCCCTCTGGTGGTTTCGAGTACAGCGGCTACACGACATGACAGCCCAGGCACGGTCAGTGCCCATTGCGTCCGGCTTCCGTTTTGTCTGAAAACAAGCTTCTCTTTTTCCCACATGCATCTAGCCGTCACTTTGTTTCTTCTGTTTAGCGTTTTCTCCAGTCCCCTTTTAAAACTGCTTTGTGCACTGCTGGGTGGTTCTCAGCCCAGGTGTCTGGCACAGAGCTGGTGGGTTGGGCGCTGGGTCTTCTCTGGCCACGTCCGCAGCCCCCGCGCCCCTCACACGCCGTGCTCTTGCCCAGTGGTGTGGCATGCTGCAGTTTCTTGCCCAGCTTGGGGACGCTGTGCGTGCCGTCCTCAGCCACAGACTGCCCACTGTCCTTCCCTGTGCTGTGCTGTGGCCCTGTTCCTCTCCGGGAGTCAGTGCCAGGCCCTGCTGTCCTCTTTAAAGCACACATACTTCCAGCACCATTTTCTCGAAGTGCCGCTTGTTTTCTTCGTGATGCTTGTTCTAGCTTGCAATTGCAATGATTTCTGTACCTTTTTTTTTTTTTAAAGCCATTTAAGGAAAATGACTGTCGAGGAGATGAAGTTGGGAGGGTGATGTTTCTCAGATTCCCGTGCCTCTTGCCCATGCCCCCGTATCTCTGTGTCCCCATACCTCTGTCTCTCTGTGGTACCTGATAGGTCACCTGCTTGGCTAGTTTCCTCAAGTCTGCTGTGTAACAGTTTGGCTCTGGGCTACTTTGGCCTGTGCTGGTGTAAGCAACCTGGGACAGGGTTGGAGGTGGGGAGCGTGTGTGTGGCTTGGCGCAATTGCCTGGGTATGGATGTGGACACGTATGTGGCTGGCTGTGGATGGACGTGGACACAAAACAGCTGCCTGTGGGTGGATTTGGACACGTATGTGGCTGTTGGTGTGTGTTGCTGCGTGTGCCTGTGTGGCTGTGTATGTAGATGTCTCTGTGGACACAAAAGTGGTATCTCCTGCGGCCCCACCACACTGGGGGGCGAGTTCCTTGGGTGTTTCTCACTGCCACTGGAGCCAAGATGTTCACAAGGGACTCTGAGTTGTTCTCTGACCTGTCGGAATCCGGACTGCTCGTCCTGGGCCCTAAGACCCAGGCACACAGATGGCCATGGGGGCGCCTCCCACCTGGAGGACACATGCAGTGGGAACTCTGGTTTGCTCACTCTCATCCCCGTCACCTAGAGCAAAACTTCTAGTACACTCAGGAGCTAGGACGTGTGGATCTGTTCAAGCTTATCTTTTTTTTTAAAGGTTAATTTATTTATTTTTATTTATTTGACAGGTAGAGTTATAGACAGTGAGAGAGAGAGACAGAGAGACAGGTCTTCCTTCTGTTGGTCCACTCCCTAAAGTGCCACCACGGCTGGCACTGCACCAGTCCAAAGCCAGGAGCCAGCTGCTTCTTCCTGGTCTCCCACGAAGGTGCAGGGCCCAAGCACCTGGGCCATCCTCCACTGCCTTCCCGGGCCACAGCAGAGAGCTGGACTGGAAGAGGAGCAACCGGGACTAGAACCCGGTGCCCACATGGGATGCCGTCACCGCAGGCGGAGGATTAACCAAGTGAGCCCCGGCGCTGGCCCCTCAAGCTTATCTTGAAATGCTGATGGTTATGTATACTTCCAGGTTTCAGTTTCTGAGCTAATGAACAGAAAACGAGTGCACGTATTTAAAGGTCGCGTGCCGCCTCTGGGTCGTTTCGTCGAGCAGTTTCGTGGGACAGTACTGGAAATGGGGGAGTGTATTTGCTCCTTACCATCTCATTTCCTCCCAGAAGAGTAGAATTTTCAGGGAAACTTCTGTTCCAGTCAGATTAGCTGCTTCATCTCAAGTCACCCATTTGAAAACACCAGGGGCAAAACAGAGCAAATCTAAAACCTGTGACCAGGAGACTGCTTGTCAGAGTGCTTGTGTGTCTGTCCTTCCCTAACCCTGGAAGTCCTGGTGTCTGGCCACATTCACCTCTGGTGACTACGTCCTAGTAAGCGGTACTTGTCTCTGAGTTTAAGATGGGCATTCTTTCCCTCCAGCCGTGTCAGTTCGAGCAGTGCATCGCGCACTCCCTACAGTCCCTGAACGACGTCCTGGAGTGCAAGCCTGGAGAAGCCAGCGTGAGTTCTGTCTGTTCAGCCCTGTTTCCTGGGGAGTCACAACTGTGCATGTCTGAGCTGTAACAGGGGGGCTTTTCCACTTACTGCTTCTTTGCTTCATTTGGTTCGGAAGAATGCTGGCTGCTGGTTCCGAGACAGGCTGATGCAAGGTCAAACGTGAGTGCAGGTGCCATAGGGGGAGACCTTGCAGTGATAACGGGCTGTGTATGGAACGCACAGCTGACCCGGGTGTTGTCAGCCTGTGTACGGAACGCACAGCTGACCCGGGTGTTGTCAGTCTGTGTACGGAACGCACAGCTGACCCGGGTGTTGTCAGTCTGTGTACGGAACGCACAGCTGACCCAGGTGTTGTCAGCCTGTGTACGGAACGCACAGCTGACCCGGGTGTTGTCAGTCTGCCCAGAGCACCACTGTCTTCTAACGCTGGGGTCGGCGCGGGCAGGAAGGGTGCCTGGAGGCCAGCTCTTCCGTAAGGGTGCTCCCACTGAAGCAGTTTTCTGAATTTTAACCTCGACATGTAATTCAGGAAAGCAGCTCTGTCCGTTAGAAAGGCCGGGCGTTTTGATCAGGGTTGTCTTCCTCGCAGGTCTTTCAGCAGCCGAAAACTCAGGAGGAGGTTTGCCAGCTGAGCATCAATATCATGCAGGTGGGTGTGAAAGAGTGACGCTGGCGCCAGGGGTAGTGCGGTGGTGTCAGCCCCTGCTGTGTGTAGTGCCTCTGACTGTGCCCACTGTCACTTCTCAGTAATTCAGGGTGAGTCACGTAACAGGATATGAGGTTCTTCAAAAATTTCTGGAAAAGTGGAATGAAAAGATAAGTTTATTTTGGTGCAAAAATTCTGAAATGTGTGCACAGTTTCTTATACTACACGTTTTCCTTGAATGTTTTGAAGGCCCTTCATGTGTGTGTTGTGGGGTTGGTTCCACTTGTGCTAGTCACACTGGATGTTGCATTGATGCTGTGCTGCTCTTTGGGTTCCTGTGGCGTTTATATCGACTTCTGTTTCAGCACAGGATGAACTATGTGGGCAGTGTTTACACTCCAGCTGCAGGGTAAAGTCTTTTGTCTGGGACACTTGCTTTCTGGGCACTTAGCAAAGTTGAGCCTGTTAGTGAGCGATGGAAGAAAAGCAAAAGGTATTTCTCCAAAAATTATTCAGTAACTTAATAACTGATAAAAAACACTTAAAAACTCATACAACCTACCACCACACTACTTAGGAGAAATTTGTGTAAAATTATTTTTAATGTCAAAATAGATTAATATCTGAGTTTATATGGCTTATACCGGTTCTTTTTCACTCAGGTTTTTATATACTGTCTGGAACAGTTGAGCACCAAGCCTGATGCAGATATAGATACTACACAGTAAGTGGTAATGTAATTAATCTTGCTGATACAGTTAAGAGAACTAAAAATAGATTCAAGTTATGTGTTTAATCTCACATCCTAAGACTTCCAGCAGAAGCAAGGCAGTTCCTACTAAGGCTTAATTCTGTATGTTTGATCTCTCCATAGTTTACCTTGTGAATTCAGCTTAGCCTCACTAGACATGTATCAGGCAGTTTGAACCATGACTGCTCATGTCGGGGAACACAGACTTTGTGAATAACAACAGAAACTTCAGTGATGGCTCGGAGCTGATGGCCCGTGCAGTTCTGGCTTTGGGGTTTGCACCAGTGCTCTTGCTGGAGACGGAGCCCAGGGAGGAGTGAGGCCTGGGTCCTGCCCAGTTGTTGGAGCTCCAGAGGGCGCGTCTGCACTCTGGGGTGTATAAATTCATGTGGTAACTCTGTCCTCATGCTGGTGGTTAGGATACAGTGACAAAATGCTGGTTTTTATTTTTAGGAAACCTAGTTTTCTCAAATGACATCAGCATATGTAACTTCTCTGCACCTATCATTTATTTTCTGACATGGATAATTTTGAAATAAGTGTGTCTTACATCTTTACTTGGCAATCGAGAGGTGGGCGTTAGGCCAGTGGTTCAGGTGCTGCTTGGCGTACCTGCATCCCATATGGAGTAACTGGTTTTGAGCTCTGGCTCTGCTCTGATTATAACTCCTGCTGACAGGTATCCTGGGGGGCAGCCGGTGATGGCTTCAGTGGTTGGGTCTCTGCCACCCACATGGGAAATGAGAATTAAGTTCCTGGCTCCTGACTCTGGTCTGGCCTAGGCCTGGCCACTGCAGGCATTTGGAGAGTGGATCAGTGGATGGTTAGCATGTTCCCTCTCTGTCTCCCTTTCTCCCTCTCCCTCTCCCTCTCCCTCTCAAATAAAAATTAAAGATAACAATCTCTAATTGGCAGTTTGACGAATGTTTCCATGTTTGTGAATGTTCTGTTACTGGTTTGCTTTTTAGCATATAAAACTACCTCTAGAGACTTACTAGCTTTTTAATTCTGGATTTTGATTTGATTTTGTATGTTTTGCTCATTGTTCAACTGTTAATCAGACCTCTTCCCTTAGTTTTCTTATAATTTCTGTTTCAAACCTCCTTCAGTCTCATGTATAGTGCAATGTGTTCTGAACATCATCTTCTGTTCCATTCATTCAAATATGTTTTATATAAGCTAATGCAATTTCAAGCATCATTGATTGGTTTATATTTTAGTGTTTATCATATTAGAATCCTTTTTGTACCTCTCTATTTTGAAATCTGTCACATTTTTATCATTTAACATGAGTTAGGTTTAAAGGGAAATAAGCTGACTTTTTTTTTTCATGATTCTTTTATACCTACAAATTAATCACTGAATCTGTGCTCCACCCAAAATTTTATGTTGCTGCTTACTTGTGGATTATTAACTAATTTCCTGACTCAGCTCATCTGTAATTCAGTTTACTGTGAGGTGAGCTTGGACGCCCACCTGCAGATTCTATAGGCAGAAACACTTTGAGCATCTACCTAGGGTAACGCCAAGCCCCCTTGATCGTTTGCTTTAAATAAGACACCACTGGGAAGACGCAACAGCAAACTTCGTATGACTTAAGTTAGTAGATAGTCCACGGTGCCTTCTTTATTTTTTTTTTAATGTTAGCAAAAGCTGTGTGATTTTTTTCACTAAACATTTTAATGTCAGATATGCATATAGTTCATTGCGTTTTTAAATTTTAGTGCTTTTTTTTTTTAACTTTGGTGCTTTAATTGTAACTTTTCTTCCTTGCTTCTGTATTTAGTCTTTCTGTTGATGTTTCATCCCCTGATTTGTTTGGAAGTATCCATGAAGATTTCAGTTTGACTTCGGTAAGTAATGATAAATAAAAAATAAAACATGTCATTTTAAAACTGCAGAATGACTGTTTGATGAATCAGTCTAAATTGCGTTGTCGCTGCATCGTTGCCGTAGCGTGTAGTACTGACCACCACTGTGTGCTTTGGAGCTGTGTTAGGTTGCACGGCAAGTTCAGTGAAGAACGATTCGTAAGCATTCAGCATCGAAACCCTCTACCTGGAGTTGCAGCGGAGCTAGTTCCGTACAGTGTCTGCCTTCATGCTCAGAAGTCGCCTTGGTTTGCTTGGCAGGAGGCACAGGACGAGGGTACAAATTCCCTCTTCAACCAAAGCTCTAATAGCACTCTGTTTGAATACACAAAACCAAACTACCAGATATATTTGTGTATATGCACACACCCACATACACACACGTACACACACATACATATGTATCGTTCCTGTTTACACTTTTGTCAATGCATGTGTGTGTGTGTAGGGAGGGCTCACCTACACACATACATACATACGGCATTGCGTACATAAATTCAGCTGTGAAATCCGGACTCCTGCTATCTTAAAGAAAATAACCCCTTCTGGTTTGTGGTGTGTATGTGTGTGTGAGTGTTTCTAGATTTATAAATAATGAATTCCTAAATAAGGGGTTTGGGATATTATAAGGAAAAGTATAGCTTAGGCAAGTAATTTTTAAAAATCATGCTAGTTTTAATTATCCATATGATTATTTAGAGAATGGTTCCGTTGACTGAAAAAGAGAATTCAAGAAGAAGATATCTTCTAAGGAAAAATTAAAAATTCAGCTTGGTACCAGACTGTTGAATGGTCCCTTTAGGTAGAGCTGTCTAGTGAGTGATTAGTGCTGTGTACTTTGTCTACATTCCAAGAGAGAAACCCAGATACAGATATGTGAATCAGCAATACACCTGCAATATAAGGCCTGTGATAGCTGAGAATACTGAGAAAAATACCTGTTGTCCTGTCCAGATGAACTCGTGCCTGGGCTCGCCCCAAAAGTAGTGACAGGGAGTGTTCCCACAGGGGCTGCCCCAAACTCCCAAAGTGAGACTGCTGGGATTTCAGACGGAGGGCTCAGCCCAGAGCGTGTATTAGGGAGCCTTGCACACAGACAGATGGCACGGTTCCTTCTGGAAGGACAGCATCATGTCCCTCAGTGGTGGGGCCCTGGAGTTTATGGTTCCTGTGTTTAGCAGTGTGGTTGATCTTGCCATGTTTCTGGGCAGCAGCCTCAGCTTTGTCAGTGCCTGGAGTGCTTAGCGTGGGTTCAGGCCCTCAGAAAAGCTTGCGGCTGGCCTGGTCCCCGGGTGGTCAGGCACAGGAAGGAAGCCGAGGGCACTGAGGGTCCCTGCACTAGGAAAGTAGGAGAGGACCCCAGGCATTAAAGTCGTACCTGGAGTGCCAGGGAGTAAGTGGAGTTTGTAAAGGTCTGAGGGATTTGGACCAACACGGGCTGATTCCTCGTGTTTGGCGATGTGGTTGATCTCGCCATGTTTTCCGAGCAAACAGCCTCGACATCTCCTGAAAAGGAACCGTCAGAGATGGAAGGACATCCAGGGAGAGCAGTGTTCCTGAGACAGATGCAAAGGAACTGTAAGGAAAAGGTTGCCGACGGGGATCAGGTTTTGCCCCCAAACTGTTCGTTTGTTCCTGTGTTTCCCCTGCTGAGTGATGGTTGATGAGATCTGCCCCGTCTTCTCAGATGGTCCAGAACTTCTTAGAGCCTCGCTGTGCCCTCCTGAAGGAGGCGGTTCTGGAAGCGTGATCTAGACGTGGAGTCAGACAGCCTGGTTCCCACGCTGCGTAAACTCCAGCACTCACCGAGGGTTCCAGGCCCTGGGTTGTGAACAGAATTGTGATGGTGACGCTTGCGTCCCAGAGATGCCATGAGGAACAGCACGACCGTGTTCATGGGCAATTGTTAGCTCCTTTTTTTTTTTTTCTTAAAAAAAGAGATTTATTTATATGAAAGTCAGAGTTACAGAGAGAAAAAGAGAGAGAGAACTTTTCCATCCTCTAGTTTACTAATGAGTTGGCTGCAAAGGCCAGGGCCGGCCCAGGCCAAAGCCAGGAGCCAGGAGCTTCATTTGGGTCCCCCATGTGGATGCAGGGGCCAAACACTTGGGCCACCTTTTGCTGGTTTTCCCAGGCCATTAACAGGGAGCTGGATCAGAAGTGGAGCAACTGGGACATGAACCAGCACCTATATGGGGTGCCAGCACTGCAGACAGCTGTTAGATCCACTGTGCCACTGTGCCAGACGACCCCAGGCATTAAACACCAACCCTGTTAATAAGCTTTTGATGAGTTTTCTAAGTTTGAGAATTTGATTATGTTGTTTACTTGTTCTTCCCACTTTTATTTTACGTGATTGGTTAGAACTGAGGAAAAAACACACTAAGAGTAAGACTCTATTTGTGAAGGGGAACCATGCCTATTACAACAGGAGAAATAAGCGAATGTTGTAAAGGACTGGGTTTCTTCCTTTTTACGGCTGAATAGTCTTCCGCTGTGTAACTGCCGTGGTTTCTTTACTCATTCGTCAGTAGATGAGTGCTCAGTGTTTCCGTTGCTTAGCTGCAGTAGACAAGGGACTGTGCGTGCCTCCTCCGCTGACTGACGTGGACCTGTGCTGGTTCTGTTGACAGCTTTTGGAGGAGCATCCATACTGCTGTCCACATGGCTGTACGGCTTTACGTTCCCGCCAGCAGTGTGCAAGGCGCCCTTCTCTGCACAGCCTCACCAGTGCTTGGCTCTTGTCTTAGCCAACAGCCAGCCTGCTGGAGTGAGGTGGTTGCTTTCCGTGTTTCAGTTTGCATTTTCCTGCTGACTTAGTGGCGCTGAATCTTTCTGCAGGTACCCCTTGGCCCAAGGTTTCTTCCTTTGAAAAGTGGTTATTTCTGCTTACTGCCTGTCTTTTAATTGTATTAGTTTGTGTTTCTGCTATTGAGTCGTCCATTCTGGTTATTAACCCTTTTTCAGATGTATAGCTTTCAAGTCATTGATCACATTCTGTAGGCTGTCTCTTCACTCTGTTGATGGTTTCCTGTGCTTCTGGGATCTGATCCAAGAAATCCTTGCTAGTTCCATTGTACCGATGCATTTCCCTGCTGTTTTCTTCCAGAAGTTTCATGTCTTACTGGAACTTGATGCCTTTTGAGGTGATTCTGTACACGCTGAGAGGCGGGGAAGTGCCACACTCCTGCATGCTGAGAGCAGGTTTTCCTGGCACCAGGTAGTGACAAGACCGGTCTTTCTGCCGCTTGTGTTTTCAGCAGCTTTGTCAAAGACCAGTCGTTCACGTGTCTGCTTTCACGCTGACACCATGCTCTCAATCATAGTAGCTGTCTAGTATATAAAGTCAGATAGTATAGTCCCCCTGCATTGGCCTCCGTACAATAGATTGCTTTGCCTACTTGGGGTGTTTGTAGTTCCATACAAATTTTGGTAGTGTTTTCTTTCCAGTTCTGTGAAAAGTGTCATTGGTGTTTTGATAGGGATTACATTGAATCTGTGTATCACTTTGGATAGTGTGGTCATTTTAATGATATTGATTCTTTCAATCCATGAACATAGGATGCCTCTTCATTGTGCCCTCATCAGTTTCTTTCATCACTGTTTCCTGGTTTTAATTTTAGAGACCTCTCTGATTAAATCTATTCCTAGGTCGACCAGGGTTGTGACACAGTGGGTTAAGCTGCTGCCTGTGATGCTAGCATCCCATATCAGAGTGCCGGTTTGAGTCCCTGCTCCTCTGTTTTCAGTTCAGCTCCCTGCTAATGAACTTGCGAAAGCAGCAGACCATGACCCAAGTTCTTGGACCCCTGCCACCCATGAAGGAGAGCAGGGTGGAGCTCCTGGCTCCTGGCTTCAGCCTGGCCCAGATCTGGCTGCCGTGGGCTTTTGGGGAGTGAACCTGTAGATGGAAATCTCTCTCTCTCTGTCATCTGCACAATGTGCGTGCGTGCGTGTGTGTGTGTGTGTGTGTGTCTTTCCCTGTGTTCCATGGCTTTCAAATAAAGTAAGTCTTTTAAAAGAGTTACTACTTTTTGTAGCTTTGGCAAGTGGGATTGTGTTCTTGATTCCTTTTTTTTTTTTTTTTTTTTAATTTTTGACAGGCAGAGTGGACAGTGAGAGAGAAAGAAACATCTTCCTTTTCCATTGGTTCACCCCTCAATGGCTGCTGCGGCCAGCGCACCGCGCTGATCCGAAGCCAGGAGCCAGGTGCTTCTCCTGGTCTCCCATGGGGTGCAGGGCCCCAGGACCTGGGCCACCCTCCACTGCACTCCCTGGCCACAGCAGAGAGCTGGACAGGGAGAGGGACAACCGGGACAGAATCTGGTGCCCCAACCAGGACTAGAACCTGGGGTGCCGGTGCCGCAGGCGGAGGATTAGCCTAGTGAGCCGCGGCGCCAGCTTGATTCCTTTTGCAGATAATTCACTATTCTGTGTAACAGTGCCACTGGGTTTTGTGTGTCAACTTTGTGCCTGGCAGCGTTGCTGACGTCATGTGTTAGTTCTGATACCTTTTCCATTGTTGTTGCCGTGTTTGTGTATAAGATCATGTCCTCTGCACACAGTCACAGTTTGACCTCCTCCTTTCTTTTGCCAGCATAATCACTCTGGCTAGAAAGATAGGAAACATTTTAAATAAGAAACCTGGGAGGTTTTTGGAAATGTTGAGCTGATTGGAGTTATTGGGAGAAGTAAAGCGTGCTTGGCGAGCAGAGGCTCCTGCTGGTGTTTGGCCCCTACCTCTGAGCGTGCCCCTTGCTTCCATGTTTCCTGTCTGCCGCGGCTCGGTTGTGCGTTGTTGTGATTACAGGCAGGAAGGGTAAACAAGGTGTGGGTGAGCACTTTTCCTGGAAGGTGGCTTTTGCCTTCGTTTCAGCCAAGGACTCCAGCCCGGGCCCCAGATGAGTCACAGTGGTTCCAGAGAATGCCCTCACACCTGCAGGAGCCCAGGGCCGTGTGCCTCGGTGAACCGCAGCGGCAGCAAGGAGGGCCGTTCCTGGAATTTCGTGTGCAAAAGCAGTTCCTCTGAACTGCAGGAGGGCGCTGCACTCAGCGCTGGAGGCAGGATTTCCCTGAGAAATCCCTTCAGCACAGAGCCCTGGAGAAGGCAGAGGCAGTGGCCTTCCGCCCCTTCTCCCTTGGCTGACTCAGGCCCTGGCTGAGGAGGAATGCACTGGCCCCACCACCCTCACTTGCCTTTAGAAAGAGACCGTTTCTTCTCTTTGTCTTTCATGCACAAAAAATTCTTAAAGGCGTAAATTTTCTTGAAGGAGCCCATCATAGAGATGCAAGTCTAGATAATTCTCTTCCAAGTTATGAAAAACGTATAGACTGTTTTCTAATAGTTCCTATATTTCGGGGTCAGCATGGTGGCGTAGCAGGTAAAGCTGCCACCTGCAACACTAGCATCCCATATCGACACTGGTTTGAATCCTGGCTTCTCCACTTCCAAGCCAGCTCCTGGCTAATGCGTCTGGGTAGCAGCAGAAGATGGCCCAAATGCCTGGGCCTGCCCCGCCATGTGGGAGATCCAGAAGAAGCTCCTGGCTCCTGGCTTTGGGCTGGCCCAGCCCGGGCCATTGCTGCCATTTGACCAGTGAACCAACACATGGAAGATCTGTCTCTCTCTGTCTCTTCCTCTCTTGGTGCAACTCTGATTTTCAATAAACCTTTAAAAAATTAATTCCTATATTTTTACGTAATGAACTATTTAAAGTAATAAGCTTGTGTCTGTGAAGTATTGCTCTTGAGAGTATGCATAAGACGCAGTTAGTAGAATGGTCACGTTACATTCTGTCTCTCTCCATTGGTGCTGAGAAAGCAGCAGCTAAGAGTTAGCAAAACCCTGGACACTGGCGTGTAGGGTCGTGAGATTATGATCAGACTTAATGAGTGGCGCGTGTGCCCGTTATGTCGCAGCTGGTTATGCGAGTGTGATTTTCTGAAGCTGTGTTCTGCTCTAGGAGCAGCGACTTTTGATAGTCCTGAGCAACTGCTGCTATCTGGAACGCCGCACCTTCCTAAACATAGCGGAGCGTTTTGAGAAGCACGACTTCCAGGGAGTGGAGAAAATCACCCAGGTACGTGGGCCCCGGGAAACGGACAGCGTGGCTTCCCGGCACCCGGTTCCTCGGCTCCTCCTCTGTGCGTGCCCGTCCTGTGGCCCTCCTCTGCAGCCTTGCTCTTTCCCCAGCTGTCTTGATGTGAGTGCAGTACTGTCTCCTTTTTTCTAGTGTGAAACTTTCTCAGGGTCAGAGCTTGTTGGCTCTCCATGAAAGCTGCTCAGAGGGGAAGGAAGAAGGTGGGAGAAAAGTGCCAGTCCCCAGTCTTTGCTCCCTTTAAGTTAAAGCTTGCAGGTACAACCGACAGCAAGTTGCCGAGCCTGCAGAGAAAGTCTTCCTGCCGACCCACACCTGCCCTTGCTCTCTTCCTCTCCGCGTGAGCACGTGCACACCACACACACACGTGCCCCACTCCCCACACCTGCAGGATGCCTAGCCTTACATCTCAGAAACACATCGCTGGCTGTCGGAAGGAGGGGCAGGAGGGCCAGGGAGTTGTGTGCAGATCAGCGGGGGTTGTGCTGTGAACACGCTACCCCTTGTTTATGTTTCCTTCAAGTAAGCAGAAAAGGAAAAAATGAAGTAACCTTGTTATTAAACGGTGGTTAGTTCCTGGGCAAAGGGTTATCAGATTTCTAGGTAAAATTACGCTGGAGCCATGTTTTAATGTCAGTACAGTGTTCTCAATGCAAAGAATAAGAAAGATAATGATCTTGTTAATCTCATAGATTGCACTCTGATGGACTGAATACTTTTTACACATGAAGATTCTAGTTCATAAAGTTCAACTGGAATTTTTTTCTGTTTTCAAAGAATGAAAATGTCAGAGTGGGCGGCTCTGTCTTGTTTTCCTGCCTTTTCGTAAAGATTAATCATCCTGATGAGAAGTGTTGTGACTTAAGGCTTTAGGCCCTAATGTCTAGTTTATTTCCAGAAATTTTTGTGTTGAGAATCGCAGGTGCCATCCTGCAGTGAAAATGTACTGTTTGTGGAATGCAGACCGAACAGCCTTTATTGGAGAGATTTTATTTCTCATGTGAAAAGCGTTTTCTCTTAGGTTTTCTGTGAAATAAAAAGAACTAGCTGTTGCTCCCATTTATTTCATCAAGAATTAGAGTGAAATTTGTGTAAAAAGAGATTTATTTATTTATTTATTGAAAGAGTTACACAGAGAGAGGAGAGGCAGAGTGAGAGAGAGTTCCTCCATCCAATGGTTCACCCCCCAATTGGCCGCAACGGCCGGAGCTGCACCGATCCGAAGCCAGGAGCCAGGGGCCTCCTCCTGGTCTCCCACGTGGGTGCAGGGGCCCAAGCACTTGGGCCATCTTCTACTGCTTTCCCAGGCCATAGCAGAGAGCTGGATCAGCAGAGGAGCAGCCAGGACTAGAACCGGTGCCCATATGGGATGCTGGTGCCTCAGGCCAGGGCATTAACCTGCTGCGCCACAACGTGGGGCCCCCTGTGAGTTTATCTTAATACAAGGACAATATACCTTGTGTACCGTGTGTTTTAGCAGTTTACTAAAATTTAATATTTTAAAATATTTAAAATTTAATATTTAAAATATTTGAAATTTTAAGGCTAGACTGTTTTCGTATATATTTACACAGTCTTTTTTGATGCAGGTAACCCTGGGAAGTGACTGCGGGTGGTATGTTAGCCGCACTCTCTTCATAGGGTAGTGTGCTCAAAAAGATTAAGGACTTGAGCTGGGCCAGAGAAAGACCGGACTCAAAATTAAGTTTTCTCATTCCAGATCCAGATTGCTTTCTGTCCATCATGCATCTTAAAAGAACGAACTTGTTTTTGTGAAAATATACCAAAAAATGAAACGAGAACTTGAAGTGGTCGATACGTAGCAGTGGTGCTGGGAGTCGTAGGGTCGGGATGTCCACTTCCCGTAGGAGGTTCCTCCTGCGTCCTGAGCACTGTTAGGAGTTTTCAGCGGACTTCCTGCCTTTGGGCGCACATGGCCAGTGCTACAGGCGAGGGCCCTGCCACGGGCACGCGTTGCCACTCTGTCATTGCTGTTTAGCTTTTTCTCAAGTCTTAGAGATGTTTTTTCCAGTCATGCTTCCCCCACCCCTGTTTATAAAAGCAAGACTCTGCTATTTTTTTTTAAAGATTTATTTATTTACTTGAAAGACAGAGTTACACAGAAGCAGAGGCAGAGAAAGAGAAGTCTTCCATCCGCTGGTTCACTCCCCAGATGGCCACAACAGCTGGAGCTGCGCTGATCTGAAGCCAGGAGCCAGGGGTTTCCAGGTCTCCCACATGGGTGCAGGGGCATATGTCTTGGGCCATCACCTGCTTTCCCAGGTCATAGCAGAGAGCTGGATTGGAAGTTTAGCAGCTGGGATTTTAACTGGCTCCCAAATAGGATACTAGCACTGCAGGCAGTGGCTTTACCCGCTGCCCCACAGCGCCAGTCCCTCCACTGTTATTTTGAAAAGGGAAAAATGCAAGAATTCAAAAAAACAAATTGAAATCATCTATAATGTACCAACTAAAAATAAACTTTTTCTTTTGATTTATTTTTTTTTTATTTGAAAGTAACACAGAGAGAGGGAGAAGCAGAAAGACAGAAAGAGAGAAAATTTTCCATCTGCTGGTTCACTCCCCAGAGGGCTGTAACAGCCAGGACTGGGCCAGGCTGAAGCCAAGAGCCTGGAGCTTCTTCCGGGTCTGCCACGTGGATGCAGGGGCCAAGGCTTTGGGCCATCCTCTGCTGTTTTCCCAGGCCTAGCAGGGAGCTGGATGGGAAGAGGAGCAGCTGGGACCCTTGTGGGATACCAGCATCTCAGGTTTGACTTTTACCCACCACGCCACAATGCCAGCCCCCAAGATAAAAGTATTTTATTTAGTACAGGATCTTTCAAAAAGTTTACAGAAAATTGGAACTAAAAGAATCTGTACATTTTCCATGAACTTTTAAAAAAATCGTTATTTATTTTATTTATTTGAATAGGGGGAGAGAAAGAGATCTTGCATATATCTTTCTGGTATAGCCGAGCCCAAAGCTAGGAGCTGGAAACTCCATCTGGGTCTCCCATGTGGGTGGCTGGGCCCCAAGTGTTCGAGCCACCGTGTGCTGCCTCTCAGGGTGCCCACTGGTAGGAAGCTGGAATCGAGAAGAGAGCCAGAGCTTCAACCCAGGCTCTCCAATAGAGGAGGCAGGTGGCCCTGCTGCGTGTTGACTGCTAGACCAAGATCTGTCCCTCCGTAAACTTTCTGAAGTACCTCTGTATTGACAGTGAATTGATTATGAGTACTCTTCTATTTTCATTAAATAGTTTTGTAAGAGATGAGTATGAGCTTTAGGGCCTTATATTTCTGAACGTGCATATACTGCATTTGTAGCCTCGTCCCTGCCAGCGACCTGAAGGTCACTCTCAGTCTGTTGCTGCTGCAAGGTGCAGGTAGCTTGGTTGCATGCCTTGTAGCCCCCAGGACCCTGCGTGATTGTGTTTCAGGACTCCGTCTTATTGCATTCTTTTTTCTTTTTTTTTAAGATTTTATTTGTTTATTTGAGAGGCAGAGTTACAGACAGGGAGAGACAGAGAGAGGTCTTCCATCCGCTGGTTCACTCCTCAAATGGCCGTAAAGGCTAGAACTGGGCCAATCTGAAGCCAGGAGCCAGGAGCTTCTTCCAGATCTCCCATGCAGGTACAGGGGCCCAAGGACTTGGGCCATCTTCTGCTGCTTTCCCAGGCCACAGCAGGGAGCTGGATCAGAAGAGGAGCAGCCAGGACACAAACCAGCACCCATATGGGATGCCAGTGCCATAGGTAGAGGCTTAGCCCACTGTGCCACAGTAGCCTCTCGCATTCTTACCATAGCTTCCAATTACAGTTTTTAACTTGAGAAAAATACTCTCCCATTGTATTTTAGTTTGTGTGCCTTTCCCTATTAGGAGGTTAGCACTTTTTCATCTGTTTACTGGCTCATTTTGCAGGAACTGGGGGAGTTAAGGAAGCACAGACTTTGCATTTCATGTGTACGAACCAAATCTTGCACGCACCAGGCTCCTCTGACCTTTGAGTGGGACAAGCAAGAGCAGTGTGGGTCATAGACTGTAGTGTGGTAACATGTCGTTCTAACCTCTCCCCGTCTTTAAAGAATAAACACCTAAGGTAGATTTTGTGTGGGTACAGATTTTTGCCTGACCTGGGAGTGGAGGCACTAAACAAGGCTGGCATTAAATTCTTGATTGCAGTTTTCTTTTTTTTAAAGATTTTATTTATTTGTTTGACAGGCAGAGTTACAGACAGTGAGAGAGAGAGAAAAAAGAGAAACGTCTTCCTTCCGATGGTTCACTCCCCAAATAGCCGCAACGGCCGGAGCTGTGCCGATCCGGAGCCAGGAGCCAGGTGCTTCCCTGGTCTCCCATGTGGGTGCAGGGCCCAAGCACTTGGGCCATCCTCCACTGCCCTCCCAGGCCACAGCAGAGAGCTGGACTGGAAGAGGAGCTCCCGGGTCTAGAACCGGCGCCCATATGGGATGCTGGCACCGCAGGCAGAGGATGAACCTAGTGTGCCACGGCGCCAGCCCCTGCGGTTTTACTTTAAGCCCCTGCATGTCTTTCAAAAACTGCAGCGGGGGAGGTGTGGAGAGGGCAGCTGCTTTCCCCATCTTCCCAGGGAAGGTCCCTGACATAAAGACTCAATTTTAAAGATTTTTGTTGCTTACTAGCTGTACCACATTTTGCACATTTACTTTTAGCTTAATTGAATGTAATTCCTAATTTTCAAGTTTGCAAACCACTTGAATCCATAGATTTGATGAGCACAGCTCCGCTTCCTTATTGCTGCACTGTCTGTCTGTATATTTGTTTCATCATTTGTCCATAGGTGTAAATTAGCTACATTTTGTGTAGAGGCCCTTTTTAGATAATAAATTACTCATAAGTTAACCCATTTTGGAATTTAGGATTTTACGGACATCATAAGTTGATCAGACATGTCCTGCTTATGAAACACTAAGCTTCATTTTTGACCCTGTTGATCTCTCCGAGTTCC